TCTATGTATTTCATCATTTTTATTAACTTGATCCAACTATTTAAGATACACACAGTGTAGTAGTACAACTACTAAGTGATTAATAGATGACGGTGAAGGGTTTTAACCTCACTCTATTCTACTCCTATTTGGTCCACTGATTGATACAACTAGTCGAAATTTTACCGGAAGGGTGCTGAATTTCTAACAATCTGAATCATGGCTCTGTGTGTGGAATAAATCATAATCTACACTTGAGTTGAATATTTTAAATTCTATAATATACTTACTTGCTCTATCATTGAATACCCTAATAGTGCATTGTGTATACTTTCTTCAATCTACTACTACTTTAACTAACAATATAGTTAAACTGCATGATGGTATAATTAGACAGAGCAATTCAGTAAGAATTCATAATACTGCCTGGTTACCTTTCTTATTTTAAAACATCATAGCTAGTCTGAAAAAGTTCATTAAAGTTGGTTTAATGATTAACAACAGAATCCCCTACTTGATGTACTTGTATTCTAGTGTTGATGTTCACACTGAGACTTGGACCTAGTACAATAAATAACCTAGTTCACTCAGACTTCTCCATATCTACAGATATAGAAACAAAGTTATCCTTATTGCAATACATGTAACTTACGTATATCTTTCTGGAAATTAATTGTTGTTGTTTTTGTAGATTAGCATTAAATGAATCGCTGCCGTTATCGTTGACTATTGTCTTGTTGAACTGATAAAAGATCTTGAAAAACTCTGCACACTAATCTAATAGAATTTATCTGAATCAACACAAAATGTATATTGTTCATGATTTATATTGACTAATAACAACTTTCTTGTTTCTGTGTGTTAATATAGGATCAGATTTGATTGGTGGCTCTGTTAATCTAGGTAGTATTGTATGGGCCAAAGCGACTCATATTGGTGAAGATTCAGCCCTATCTCAGATTGTTCGCCTGGTTGAAGAGGCGCAAACATCGAAAGTGAGTCTATTGTTAGCTTATCTTGCAAAAAAGCAACAATTTTTAACTATTTGTTTATGATTAGGAAATGCTAACTTATAAATGTTTCAGTTTATTACGTAATAATAATCATAAGCCCAGGATAGAGTAGGTTAGAGAATACAGGTGTAAGTAAGTAAGTAAGGAAGTAATCTAGTTCAATGGTTTCCATAAATTTCCCTCTCATCTGTAGTTTAAATTTATAAAATGTATTAGTTATTCTGGTATCATTGAGCATTCCTAGTCCTTAATGATGCTTCATTTCAGCTGTGATGATTGAACAGTATGGTTAACCTTCATATAAAACGTATTATTGAAAGCTCTATGTTTAGATATGCACTACGTTACTGAGCTGCATTAGAATTTTGTTAAATAACAAATATTACTCATCAATCGATTGACATACCGAAATCAGCCGATTAGAAAAACGGTAAATAACTTCAAGCTAGTAATCAGGTTAGGAGAGAAAGTAATCAAGATAGAGGTGGGAAAAACCACTAGATGATTATTGGCAACCACCAATTGAAGTTTCAGATGAACAGAATATTGTGTTAAAGAATCAGTTGTAGAGAAATCCTAATTTTTCACTTTGTGAAGTATGAGAGTTGATGGATGATGTTGTCTAGAAAAACAATAGAATCTTCATAATGAAACCATCCACCTCAGGGGATGGAACACTTTGAAAACTTTCTCTCTGAGCTATAAATATTCTAATCGACACACAGTTTATTGTTTTGTAACTTACGTTAGGTTGTCTTGCCATCAATGATAAAGAATAATTGAAATTGTATGGCTTTCATTCTGTTTTTAAGGACAGCAAACTTGACCTACAAAAGTAGATAAACAATGTGATGTTAGTAGTTAATATTCAGTGACTGATTAGTGTATCTACTACTTTTTTTCTATGATAGTTATTTATATTCAGAGATTATCCAATCATCATTTGCCTTTATAATAGTGGCTGCGCTAAAACACTAAAGAGGTTGATAGCATTTAACTTTTGAAACTGTGACTGATTTTCAGTATAAGTGGATCATTCCAACATGCGATTAGAACACACGCAATCGATAGCTTTGTTGGCAATCAAATACGAAGTTCTTCAGGATCCACTTAGGAGAGGATATTATTCAGTCAACATATCTTTGTTAGTTTGAACCCCAGAGGGTAACCATACTTCAATCAAATGGACAACGTAATCTTATCTAATTAATGATTAGAACTGAAGATGTGACAAGCACCTCACTCCTCTACTAAACTTTTCATAGATTTCGATCATGTTTCTCCACAAATTTGTGCTAATGTATATATACTTTCCCTGTGTTTGTTTTCCTCGCATTGTAGGCTCCAGTACAACAGCTTGCAGACAAGATTGCCGGTTATTTTGTCCCATTTATTTGCTTTGTGTCATTAACAGTTTTCATTCTATGGATCACATTGGGTTTATTGGTGCCAACAACCATAAAAGGTTATGAAGTGAGTTGTTTTGCACCTTCATAACTCGAGGGCTTTCTTATTGATGTATTTAAGCTTTTTTGACCTTTGTAACTGTTTATTTTCTCTGTTACAAATGTGGATTCATCTGGCATATGTTCATTTACGTAAATAACTTTTTAGCTAAAATGGAGCTTAAGGTAGTGGATTCGATCAAATTTTTTTTCCGTAAACTGTCATGCTTCTATATTGGCATGAATATTAAACGTTCTTTTGGCTGTAGCTCGATATGTGACCCAAGCAGTGTTTTGATTTTCATTAGTAAATTATTATTAAATATGACCTGTGAAGGCAGAAAATCTACTTATTTTGTCACTATTCGATTATGTACACAAGTCATTCATGTAAATAAGTTGTTAAGCTGATACGGATACAGTTATGAGGATGATGACTTTGACTGGGTAGACAATTCATCTCACGTCGACCATGTGGCCTTAAGACGGCTAATAATCTGTCTGGTATAACACTCAATTACATCACTTTGTGACTCACTGTTTCCACTGAAGTTCATACACGCTGGTTTTTTAATATTTTTGTTTATTCTGTGGAAGAATTATTGCTTTCTTATATAGACGCTCAAGTTTTGATTATTAGGTTTCAACTTTTTACATGAACTAGATTCTTTAGTATTCTATAATTGTTGTCAGTAGTATTAATGTCATTTACTCTATTTCATTCTTAACGTACATAAAATAAAATGAATAATGTAAGATAGTCTTTTAGCTGTCAACTCCTATGATTGTCCATTTGTTTAGTAGGTGTTATGACAGATCAATTCACCTCAAGTTATACCATTACAATAGAATAAAATCGATCATATGATGACTTGTAGAAAACCTTAAAATAATCAATAGTGCTAATGATATTCACAGTAATGAAACAGCGAATGCATAGTTCAAAGAAACGTGATAAATTCTTGGAATAAAATAGTATAGAATAAAATTGTCTATACAGGGTAGATGAATTTCGAACTATATCACTCACATTCTTCAACTATTTATTGATCAGTATTATTTTATAAGTTAGTAGGTCAGACTTTCAGATAAAAAAAAATTGGTTTTAAACATTGCAGTAATAATATCTTCTATTCGTGATACACTAATCATGATTGATACGTGTTTAGGTTTCTTTTATGTTAATGATATTTAACTTTGAACGTTATTTTTCTAAATGCATGTGCATACATAGATTTTCATTTTGTTTTCTATTTTAAGCCTGGTTGTTCTGTTCTCTTGTTAGCTGTTGATCATGCATTTCGTATGGCTATCACTGTACTGACCATAGCTTGTCCATGTGCTCTTGGATTAGCTACACCAACAGCGGTTATGGTAGCTACTGGGACTGGTGCATTAGCTGGTATATTAATTAAAGGTGGTCAACCGTTAGAGAATATGCGTAAAGTGTGTTTAAATTTATTGCATTTTATAAAATTCGGAATATTATGTGTTTAATCATTTCGATTTTATACACACTATATATATATATATATATATATATATATATATATATATATATATATAAACATTGAAATGCAACTGACTTGAGTCTACTGCTTATCTTCGATGATTGATGGTGAACAAAAACTGGCTTAAAATATCACAAAATAATTATTGTGTTTGGTAACATCTCACACATGACAGACATCTTTAAACATAAATTTTACGACGAGTAAATAACAGGTATCCATTTGTGAACATATCTTCTCAACATGGCCCCCTAGTAATAGAATCGCTATCACGATATACAATATTAATCTCTTGATAAAAATGCAGAGCATGGGTTTAATAGTTGGTTGATGAGTAGTTTCAGTTCTTCTCATTCGAACCGTGGGTCACTATAAAGAAGTTGTTTCTGTTTAAAACGATATGTAAGCTCGTTCTTATAAATATGGAGCATAGGTCTTCTTGAATTGGATTGGTTCATTGCTATACTTTTGCTAAATTCATATTCAACCTAAGAATATTTCTGCATAAATCTTACATTAAGCAGTGTAATTATTTCCTTGATTTTGGAACAAACTAGACCGCATTCTTTTATTCCATCTGTAATTTTTAGTTAACTACAATATTATTCGATAAGACTGGAACAATCACTCAAGGTCGACCACAAGTTATCCGTATTGTCATGTTTGTACCACCTAGTGGTGAAATGGAGAAATCATCAGAAGTAGTAAGTATCCATTGCAAGTTTTCTTTCTTTATTATTTTCTACAAAATATTACAATGTACATACTCAAGGATTTGATTCGTAGGTTCAGAGATTTGTATTATTTAAAAGTATGCCTTTTTATTGATGAATATAATAATAATTATTATTATTCACTGATCTACTAGGATAGATATTCGTATACATGATTTTGAGCCACACTCCAAGTTGAGGTGCTAGTGACAATTGCCGATCCTTCAAACCACTAAAAATGTGGAGTGGTTTGAGAATGCAATATGTAGGCTGAAAGTTGAACATCTTAACCACTATGCCACCTCTTCACTTAATATTGATTAGTATTCAATAATAATCAGTGATAAATTTATGAGCATTGAAGTGCTTAATTAGATAGGTCGTTACAATACATTTTAATTTCTGTCATAGAGTCAAAACATGCTTGAAACGTGAAATAAAATATATGTTTCTCATACTCTTTTTGATTTTAATAATTCCCTTTATGATAAATTGTTACAACCTAATCAATTCCTTTTAAAAAACCATTAGTTTGATATATTTTAGTTCTTTTTTTGTTGTTACAATATCCATGAGAACGTCACCTAATCACTAGGTATTCGAGTACGTACCACACTCATGATATGAGCGTTAATGACACCACTAGGTTTTCTCTATCAAAGTTGACGGAGCGAGGTCCGCATTCAGGGCTCAATGAATCTTTTGCCTATTTGTTCTTTGAAATAGGACACTACTTTTTCACAAATCTATCCAACCTCTTCCTTATACAGTTGAATCTATCTGAAATCATTGAACAGTGAACATGTATTCTCACTTATTGCATTTCTGTCACTCCATACATTCTTGAAACTGAGATCATTGGATTTCTTTTAGTGAATATTGACACTGGTGAGATTCAGTTGAATTGAATTCTCATAAACTGTAATTTCCTACTTCGATCTATTCAAAACTGACTATTATTCGGTGCTGCCGATAAGTAAAACACGTTTTGATTAAAGTATACAATTGTCAATCTACAAATGTTTTTATGATTATTAGTTCATTTTAATGATAGACAATGAATCATGAGAGTGATATAACTTCTGCTGTGTAGTAAATAAATAAGGCATTAACACGAAACTGTCAATAACTTGTATTGTTCAAATTTCTTATCTTTTTCTTTATACTGACAAAAAGAGAACATAATGTATCCTAAAATAAAAAGCGAGTGTTACTTTTTTTCTCATAGGTTCGTACATTCGATAATAGTATTATTTATATAGACACTGAATGTATATTCGCAATATTTAGTCTTTCTTGTCTTGTCTTTCAATGTACACTAACTACATAAATATATTTCAGCTACAATCATTTAGTTTGTGTTGTATATGAAATCTATCATATCATAAAACCATTTTAAAAGTCTACTGTGCATAAAAATAGTGAAGCCTAGTTAATCAATATTTTTCAGAACTAATTGGCATGAGATTGTTAGTCACATTTATTATTTGTTTGTTTGTATATTTGCTGCATGTAAAGAATGATTTAAATCGTTTATATGGACAATTGATTAGTGCATCACGCCAATAATGTTGAAAATTGAATACTCAAATATATTTTACCTAAGAATCAGCTTATAGTGCTACCGAAAGGTAGCTGGATTGACTATTTCCATTCATTAAATTATTGAACTGTATGCTGCTTAATTTTATCTATTTGAAAAATTATACTCGTTTTATGTATGAAATGTAAATGAGCTTTCAGTTAAAAAGTTTCAACCGCCATATATTGATGTAAACTCAATGCCTACAATTATAATAGAAATATCACTAATCACTTACATAATTAGAATGAGTGTTTTATCAAGTAAGAATCTTCATATCAGATTGCTTTGAGACCACCCCTGCTAGAGTGAATGTAGTTCGTTTTCAGATAGACCATTCGGTTGAAAACGAAGCTTAAAATAATGACTGCCACGTTTTGATTATTAACAACCGTACAACATTTCTTGCATGTTGTGAAACAACTGAGTAACCAATACTGAGGCTAAATAAAGACAGAGAACTTGTTGATGATGTCACTCTAAGATCGATTTCATTGACCCCAGATCTCGAATTTCATTCATCTTTCATCCATATCTTCTTTTCGGAATTATATTTTCATTGTTTATTGCTTTTCATTAAGGACTGCTATCAAAATCAGTTAAATTTCTTCATATCCCACTCGTCAACTACATATTGTTGTGTGAATATGATACAGAAACTTGATCTAACGCACATTTATAGTAGTTTGTTATATCTGTTTTATTAATTCATTCAACCATGTGTTTAATTCAGATCTTCTTCTGATCAATATAAAAAAACACTAATTCTTCATAGAAACTGATTCATTTTCTTTATGTATGATTTGTTTTCTTCTATAGAATAAGCACCAATCCTCTGAACAATATTCATTATCATTATCATCATCAATCTCTTTACATAAACCAAGAATCTGTTCAAACATATCACCCAGTCGATTTTTATATCTTATAGCTAGTGCTGAATCAACAGTACAACATCCTGTTGCAAATGCTGTACTTATTATAGCACGTACATTTCGTCGATTTGCATCAACATTCAATTCAAGTGAATTACTATCAAAAGAAAAATTAAATTATCCACGTACTCATGATGATAAAATGAAGTATGACTTATCCAGTGATTTTGGAAAGGTAGGTAATTGTAAGTATAATACTACTATGTATTTAGTTTACAGTAATTCTTTGCCTTATACGTTGAATATCTTCTTTATGTTCATGTTTACAGCTCAGGTCGAAATGTTTAGCCTCTTCTTTCTTAACCCTTACCAGCTAGAATCAACGACATGGCACGTTTAGGTCGGCAATTTTTGTGATATGTAATATCTGTAAGCTGACTGTTGAAAGTAGTCGACAGGAAACCCGAGTTGACATAGTTTTTGTTTTTTACGTCAGCAAGGTCAACTTGTAATCTTGAGGAAACATATTCTTCCCGGCAGATTCTACTCATTTCTCCTATCTTCACAATGAGAGACGTTACCACTGAGCTACTCAGGCCGCGACCGACCTCGTACAGGACATAGATGTATTTACGACTGAGTAGTGACCATCATGAAAAAAAAGGTCGACCCTAAAAATGTTACATCTCACCTTACTTCATGGACTTCCGCCTCCAGCGGTAAGGGTGTTCACTAAGGGCTTTTAAGAGAGGAGCTAATAATCTAAAAACTTCTACCAGGAGGCTCGCTTATTGACTGAATGCCGATGACATAGTCCTACTTGGTGAAGACGCTGACTGAGTACAGAGTCTTCTGACTACCCTGAGCAACAATGCAAGCATATTCGGCATGCGGTTCTCACCCTCGAAATGCAAAATGTTGCTTCAAGACTGGGTTGCATCGGCACCAGAACCAGTGATAGGAAGTGAAGTAGTCGAACGTGTAGACCGCTTCACTTACCTTGGGAGTCTCGTCAGTGCTGGCGATCAGCCACACTTCGGTTACCCACGATCTCCAGTCATCCTGAATGGCAAGTCGACGTAAGCCCTTATGAAGTTATAGGAAATCTGAAGCGAGGGAGAGCAGCGCGTCCTGATAGATTGACCCTGAGATTTTTAAGGATGATAGTCCAGTTTTAACATTGAGAGCTTACGGCGAACTGTCATCGGAATTAGTTACTTCAAGTGTAGGGAGTGGAGTAGTCTGATGTGTGACGAAACCTCAGCACGGATACAGAAAGCTCGATCGGCTTTTGCCAATTTACGCCATTTACAGAGTAGGCGAGATATCCGTTTGCTAACCAAACGACGAGTGTACTGCACAGAAGTTCGTTCGTCCTACTATACGGATGCCGAACATGGCTGGTGAGAGTAGAGGACATTCGTAGATTGCTTGTCTTCGATCATAGGTGTCTCCAAAGCAATGCTCGTACATCCTGGGACAACCGAGTAAGTAATGCTGTTGTTAGGAAACGGTTATTAGGTAAGGATGGTATTTTGATAGATGAAGTATTGAAACTTCATCAGTTGAGATGGTTGGGACATGTGTTACCTATGCCTAACCACCGACTGCTTCGAAGAACTATGTTTTGTGGTGTAGGAGTAGGTTGGAAGAAAGCTAGGAGTGGCCAAACCAAAACATGACAAAAATCCATGAAATCACTGACAAGTGGAGTAAGTCATGTTGGTAGATGTAGGCTACCTGGTCGGGGTCCGCGAGACGAAAGTCACCAATGGTTAGAGACCTTGAACGACATTGGCTTCAAAATCGTTACTTCGCCAATGGGGCCATAGTGCATTCATTTCATTGTTTTTCTCTTTGCATCATTCTAGTTTTTCTGAATTCCTCATCATCTCTGTCTTTCTCTTTTCTAAATTTTATCTCCCTCAATTTATACTTTCTCAAATCATATCTTTCGAACCCCCAATCCTCCTCCATTACTGCCTAGTACTTCTACTATCGCCTACCACTATTGGGTTCTGAACTGACAGTTTGCGTTCTCTCGTGCTAATGTGTGCTATGCCGAAACCTGAACTGAGTGTACGTACGCTACAAAGTTCCTGTGTTTGTATCAGTCTGTCTAAACTGATAACATTCTTCTTTCAGATGTCACAACATATCCGTTTAATAGTTACACATCGTTAAGAAACTTTTCTTCACTGAACCTTCTTTATTTTGTTTAATTTAGCAATCCATTTTCATCTCAGTGGTAGTGTTCATTTGTTTTTGCTTTGTTAAATAAATTTAAGTGATCAGAAATTCGTACTACTGATTTAATATGACTGTAAATTTAATATTACATTTATTTAATATTAATAATGTTGCCTACTTTGTTAGACAATTTGCAACACTTAGAACTTCAGACACTAATGTTGTAAACCTTTTTTCATTATCTAATGCATCGTTTTGTGAAGCTGAATTATTAAAAACTATTGATTTCACAATGCTTTTTATGCATTAGTTTTACTTAAACAACTGAAAAGTATTTAAAGTATTTTCCTAGACTACCTTTCAAATTATTTGTCTGTTGCACTTTCTTGTGTCAAAAATGTTGATGGCGGTGATCATTAATTAGCTCTGTAAAGCCTCAAGTTTAAATGTGTAACACATTTTTATCCATAATATATGCACATATATAAATATCATCTTGTTTTTTTGTTTTGTTTATGTAGATTTCTCAAATTAAAACTTCATCTGGATTAGGTGTTCAATGTAATGTTGATCTATTACCATATGATTGTCCACCAGGTCCGGAATTACCGAAACCTTTAGATGTTCGAAATAGTAGTAGTAGTAGCAGTAGTCTTATCAATCAATATACTGAATTAGATATTGATGCAGCATTACAAATGAAATTAACTTACATATCATGCATGTGGCCGACAAAAAATACATCTCCTATTACTACTACTACTACTACCACTAATGATAATAATGATACAACAAGTAATATTGAAAAGTTTAATGGTCTTTTGTCTAATCAATCTATGACAACATATCCGGTTAGTTTTTATTCTATGGTCAATGAATTAAATACATGTCAAGTTGTAAACGATGATAAAGAAAATGTAAGACATAAGAAGAGTACAAACAATGATATCAGTATATCTGAACTACAACAACAACAACGGCAACAACAAAGATACTTTCTAAATGAAACACAGCAAATTGAATGGGCAGGTATGTTGTTCTGAATTTATTGTGTATTTCTTTTTCAGTGTAGTTTTTATTTACAATTATTCTAGATAATCAAGTAGTTTTTTTTATCCTTGGATGTTTAATCATATCAATAATGGGTTGAAATTCTGGTTGAAAGCTTCTAGTATTACTTACTAATAAACTCTTATTACTTACAAATTTATACTTTGTTTAGGCTTAAATGAAGCATTGTCTAATCGAATATTTCCAGGTTTCTTTGGTAATAATAATGAGATTAGTACAAAGTATTTGTTAACACGTGTATGAACTGTTTTTGTGCACAACTGTATACTCTACGTAATTTACCTAATGAAACGTCACTTTATGACCATACTATTCTTCGTCACTGAAAGCAACTGCCGACTGAACACTGATAAATTACTATAACAGCTTCCTAATCAACAATCATGATTGTGTTATTATTGACTATAATAATGATAGCATGAGTTGAACTTTGTGATGATCTATCTTCGAATAGAAAATAAGCTAAAATATCTGGTGTTTATGTTTGTTTGAAATTAATCATTTAGTCATAAAGTAAATAAAATGTTATGCTGTATTCTTCCTAAGTGAGATGAATCCTGGCAATCAGTATTGTGTGATTATGTACTGCTAAATTTGCATCTTTTGAGAAATTATTTAATTCACCAACGATAACCTATAATGTTTCTAAACTAATCACTTCATAAACTGACTGTCTAGACAATCGTTGGGAACCAGAAATCACTGAACAATTATTTAGACGTACTTTGGGATTCATCAACAGTGAACTTCTATAATCACAGCTGAAATGGAACCCAGGACTTTCAGTCCTTACGAAGAACCCCAAACTTTTAGTTCATCATGTTGGCATCCGACTTCATATAGTTTTAACTTCAGTCAAATCACAATGTCTCGCGTGACTGTCATCCATTGTAATTGTTTATGGCTGTATCACACCTGCTAGAACTCATGAAATTTTTCCATAAAACTCAGTCGCTGGTGAGTACATGATTATTAGCAGTAATATAGGGGGTTTTTGAAGTTCTCTCTGTATCTTGGTTCGGGTAACCGAATGGTATCAACAGCTCCCGCAGAAAAAGATTTACCTCGAAGTATGTAGTACATAGATCTTTATCTAGTTATTGAGATGAAGTGTACTTCATCAGTTTCATTGATATCTTTATCATGACCACTGTACATCTTTAAACATAAATGTTCTTCGCAAATATGTAATTACATTTAATTCAATATCAACTTATTCATATTGACCAACTCTCTTGTTATTCGATTTATTTTCTCTCGTAGACTGCACCAAAGGTGGTGTTCATTCTGTACTTATTGGTAATCGTGAATGGCTGAAACAAAACAATGTGATATTGCCTATCATTTTATCTAACGAATACTTACCAGATGGACGTGAATCAAATTATCAACCTACTGGTTATTGTAGTATCCCAACTTTGGAATCATTAGTTGCAGCTGATGAGTCTCAGGGACACACAGTTGTTTTTGTCGCTATTAATAATATATTAGTCGGTCTAGTGACAATTTCTGACCCAATTAAACCAGAAGCTGATTTAATCGTTGCTGCATTACGTCACCGTGGTATACGTGTAGCTCTGTTAACTGGTGATAATTATCGTAGTGCTAATGCAGTTGCACAACAAATTGGTATCGATGAAGTCTATGCTGAAGTGTTACCTGGTCATAAAGCGGATAAAATAAAAGAATTACAAAACTATACAACCGTTCTTAAAAGAAATAAAAGGAATTCTGCCATAATGTCGATGACCACGATGAGAAATGAGAAGCGGAGGAAAATGAAAACAATGGAAGGTTTTATTTCAGATAAAACTGATGGTGTAAATAACATTAGGGGAGACGGTGAGCTATATATCCTATTTAAACATGTTATTTAAAATATGTGGATTATGGCGACCAGTAAAGTCTACGATGTGTTTCGTTCTATTAGAGACTCATCAACTGGATGCATCTGCATTCCACTTTTGATATTCACATTGGGAATCGAATTCAGTTCTTTTTTTTTGAAATACTAACGGTTTATTATCTGAACTACTGAGTACAAATAACTAAGCACAAAATAATGCATGATACATGATTCATTTGGCAAGACTACTCAATACAAAGAAACATTAATAAAATTGTCTGTGGTTTTCTCAATCCCGGGTTACTTACTTGCTCACTCCTGTTACCCCCAATCGAGCACATTCTGCTGACCAGTATTCTCCAACCTACTCTATCTTGGGCCGACCTTTCCAGTTCTGTCAAAATTTTGCCTCTTTTCCTTTGACTTTGAGGGTTCCAAGTAAGAGGTTGTCTTGTGACGCAGTTAGGTGCTTTCCTCAATGTGTGTCTTATCCACTTCCAGCGCTTCTTGATTTCCTCCTCCGCTGGGATTTGTTTTTTTCTCTCCCACAATAGGTTGTTGCTGATGGTGTCTGGCCAAGTGATCTGAATTATTTTGCGTTGACAACTGTTAATGAATACTTGAATCTTCTGGATGATGGCTTTGATAGTTTTCCAAGTTTCCGTCCCATACAGTATTGTATTGTACTGAAAATTCCACCGTCATTGCTAGTTCTTCCACATATTTACGTTTGTCAGCTCTGATGCTCCACTTCACTTGTTTATTTACTTCTGTGTATTCATCTTGTGCCTTGGCTTTCTCTGCTCTTGCTCGGCTGATGATGATTGCTGCCGTTTTTGTTCGTCCTTTCTTGAATTTTATCAAGAGTATCAGTAGAGATCCATTCCTTGTGATGGTGCTGCTTGTGGCACAGAACCTCCTCCCATGTTGAAGTGATTGCCTCCTTGATCTCTTCCGAATGTTCTCCATAGTAGTTTCCTCCCCATTAGATAGATCGTAAAAGACCTGGAGCCTGTTTCTGAGGATTATCTTGAATCCGTTAAGTTTACCAGTATCACGAAGAAAGGCGGTATTAAACCTTTGTGATGTTGTCTGCCTCGTTGTTCAGTGCCTCTTGAGTTTCAGTATCATTTTCTCGATCAGCAAGTGGTGATCTGAAGTTATATCAGTTCCTCTTTTTGTTCTTACGTCCTCCATGTCCCTTCTGAAATTTTGTTGATGCAGATGTAATCGATTTGGTTCTGTGTGGTGTGATCCGGCAAGTAGCCCTAGAGGGGCTTCAGGTGGAATTCTATCCTGGGATAACTGAAAGCAACTAGCCTAATCAATAATTCTGGTTGGACAATTTTTTTTATCTTTCCAAGTATTGAGTAGTAATCGTAGAACGGTAAGCAATTACTTACTAGAAATGTGTTTGTTACAAAAATAACTAGTAAAAGACTAATTCGTTTTTGATATTCATGATATTTACTTATGTATTTATTCATCTTCTCATACAGAAAATGAATACAATTTATTCAATGAAGGAATATATGAGGATAAATTTCATAATACCGTTAAAAGTACTCAGGTGAAACCTAATGGAAAATTTGTAAAAAATACTTTATCTTTTAAGCAACTGATCAAACAGTTCATCAGTGCAATGTGCTGTTCATCTAGTCAACATTATTATTCTTCTTTTGTAAAGTCATTGAATCTTGGAAGTAAGCATCATGCTACTTCATTTCGTCGACGTCAAGTAGAACGTCGTGAGATATATCGGAAAAATAACTTACGTGTATCACTTTCAAAAGCCCGACGTCAATATGTTGCGATGGTTGGTGATGGTGTTAACGATAGTCCTGCACTAGCTCAAGCTGATGTTGGTATAGCTATTGGGCGTGGTGCAGATGTTGCCGTAGAAGCTGCCGATGTAGTACTTATTCGAAATTCATTGATTGATGTAGTCGGCGCTATTGATTTGTCGAAGAAAACTGTGCGTCGGATACGATGCAATTTTATTGCTGCTACTCTATACAATCTTATAGGGGTTCCTGTTGCTGCAGGTCAGTTGGTTTTGGATCAGTTTATCAGGTGTTTTTTTTAATTTATGGTTATCTTGCTTGGCATTTATTGCTTTCGTGGGAGGTTTATGGTCTGTATACATTGAGTGTATGGTACGCTCTATCATATGTCGGGAATGCTATATTGCCAAGCAAATCGCTAACAGTTCTCTCCAGATCGTGATGCGATCCTGGACATAAAATAGATGACTGTGTTGAAAAGCCATGCCAGCTGTCACAGCCGTTACCGACAATCGCCCGGATCATTTCCGTGTTGTAATAATTTAAATATTGATAGCAGTTGCCATATGTCTGGTAATACCAGCGAATCGTAGGACCTGAGCGTCTCCTAGAGTGTGGTCGATCTCTTTTGCGCGACCTACTTCGTGACCGTCTTTTCTGTCTTTCGCTCTGATTCAGCCTGGTCAGCTTTTGGGATAAAATATAATATCTTTTTTTCAACTCATTGGTTTCATTATTTTCTGTGGCGTGACGCATCTGTAGACTCGGCATTTTCGTTCTTTAATAAATTCTTTCGGCTATTTCTGCAGTTTGATCTATGTTCACATCGTCATTGCCAACGACAAGGATCAGTTGAACATTCTGGGTAAAGTTTCCGGAGCAACAACTGATAAAATAAACTGCCGTCTAACTTCCTGTCTCCGATTAAACTTTTCATGTAGTTCTTTAGCTGCGGTGGAGTCCTATCGCCTAGTTCCTGACCGTAGCAACTACCCTGACGTGGTGGTCGGGCTTGCTTATCATGATGGCCCAGTCGAGCAATATTGGCTGGAACATATATTCTTGTATATTCCCCCAGGCCAGGTAGGTCGATTGTAGAATGGTGAGACTAAAAGCAGCTACTCAAGGTCTGAAGGCGAAGTCGTACTGCTGACTGTAGAGAGGTGTGATAGCAGTAAGGTGTTCCCCTCGGACAACCAACATATGCGGCGATGCTGCCTTCTCACAAAGAAGGAATGGGTTAGAAAACGTCGACCCTAAAAGTGTCACACCTCAACCCACCCCACGGATTTCTGTCTCCGGCGGCAAGTCATTTTAAAGAGAGCGAACTTAACACTTTACAAACCTCCTATAGAAAGGCTGTGCGAGACCGGCTTCAAGCAGTTGTTCCCTGGGCTCTGACGTCACGCTCACAGGTTGCCCAGACCAACGCTAATCTGGTTCTTTTTACAGGTTTCTCAAGAAACATACTTCCATGCTGTGGGCAGCCCGGAAAGTGACAAACATCCCCATACTCGTAATAGCACGCGAAACCAAATCAGTCACAATCAAATCCTTTCTACACACCCTAACATCTCTCTTATATCCACGAATAATCCCTCTCGCATTTCTATATCACCCCGCACCGCTAATATTCGAGTTCACGAAACGTTATTCCTGGTCGCCTGTAACCCCGTTCTAAACTACATATTGGAGATTTTAATGTTCGAACCTTGTATCAAATACGGCAACAGGATCCCAGTAGATATTGGCTTGTGCACTGTCTGACTAAACAGGATAGTAAGGACTCGAAAAGATAGGGACACTCACCGCTGCCTCTTCGTCGTATCTGCCTACGCTCCCACTGACTGCAGTTCAGACGATGTGAAAGATGAGTTCTACAGAAAGCTTTCGGACCTCCTCCAAAGAGTTAGGCACTCTGATATAGTAATAATGGTAATAATAATGACTTTAATGCTCACGTAGGTAGACTAAGTGAAAAGGAAAGACACCTTGGTGGATCTTATGGTGTCGCGCCTCAGAGGATAGATAATGGCGATCGTCTGCTGCGGTTAGAAAAACAGTTAGGCGGCCATGTAAGTGATACCCACACCAAGGATACGGAAATAGCAAGTGATATCTGCTAGTAAGGTAAACCATAATCTTAGGGATAAGCTTTGGATCTCAGTAGCATCTGCCGAACTGATAGATGCCCGGAAACTTATCCCGTCTAGCTCTGAACATGAAGAAGAGGGAATTCAGTTTAAGCGCAGGCTGATAAAAACCCTACTCAATGTTTGCGAACATTGATGGATAGCGAAAGTGAGAGAGATAGAAAAGGCAGCGACAATAGGCAACAGCAGATAACTTTTCCGCCTTATCAAAGAAACCGGTCTCAGAAATCCATCTGTTAGCGAAAGTATCTCAGAAAAGGATGGTTGTATCATTCATCTCCTATCCTGGAGATCAGATCGATGGGCAGAACACTTTAGGAATCAGTTCGACTGGCCTTC